CTTTCGTGTTTTTGAAGATAGAAAGCTGAAACTTAATACAGATTCTATTTTTGGCCAGTTGATCCAACCTACCAAATTTCACCTACCTACCATATAACTGAACGATCGGAAATGGTACTTGGTAGAAATATCAACTTTCTTATTTTTGAAGATAGAAGTTTGGGACTTTTTTTAGATTTTTTATTTTAGTTAATTAGTTTTATTATGATGTAATCATAAGGATCGGCCAACTATATCCGATGTTTGCGATATATATCCGGTTTTAACTGCAAGGGTATATAAACTTCGGCTCCGCCCGAAGTTAGCTTTCCTTTCTTGTTTTTTTCTAAGATAAAATAATCTCTTGAGACATGTTTGCGCCCCCAGGAAAACTTTGTGCTAAAAGAAAAAAAAATTTTAATCAAAAAAGGAGCAAAGGAGCGTGATAACCAGACTGAAGGGCATTAACTCCATTCTGGTCGGAAGTGTTCCGGAGGATCATGCGGGACCGGCCAGTATGCCCAAGCCAGTGCACTGTTGCGCTCTCAAGATTTAATTGACTTTTTTCGGTAAAAGCGTTACGCCTCGCTTTATTCAGTATTAATGAGGCAACATTATGTATCAACATAATGTATCAACACATTATGTATTATGCATATGTGTCAACGTTAAACTAATGAAAAACGACGAAAATTTTAAAATCGTTTTTAAACCGTGGTCGGCCGGGCCCTATTCCAGGGGCCAAGGGATTTTTCTTTTACCGAGCTCTGCGGTACACACCCAGTATAAACGTATGAAGAGTCATGCTCACAGCCTACTTTCTGCTATTCGTTACTAATAGTACTAATGCTTTAAAATTATATATTTTTAATTATATTCCTTGGGTCGCGAACGTACGTACGCAATTAGTGCCAAAAAATTAAAGAAAAAAACATTTTCTGATACCTTTTTTATTTGTTTCCGATAGCATTTGGTGAGTTATTTTCATAGTGTAAATTATGATTCTAATGGATTTTTCATTTTCATAATATTGGCAAAAAACATGAGTCCGCGAACGTACGCGAAATGAACGTCGGTTTTGGCTTGCTATAGCAAAATCAAAAAATCTGCGAATTGGAATGGAATATTTTAATGCAATAACTTTACTTTTGAAATAGAGGCATGTAGCTTTCTATCGAGTCTATTTTTAATTAAATATCTCCATTGGTTTTTTTTTTATTAATTTAAGTACGGGTCGCGAACGTACGATTTTTCCATATATCATTTTTGTTTTTTTTTTACCTCTTTGTTTTTTTAAATAAATTTATATTTTCTTGAAAAAAAATAATGTTTTACCAATTTTTTTTTGTGATTTTTAATTTTAGCCTAATTTAATTTCAATTGTCACTTCTTTTATCCGTATAAAAATGTTTATAAGCTTGTTAAACAAAAAAATAATTTTTTTTAATAATATTATTTTTTATACGTACATATGTACATACGTCATATGTACATACGGTAGCGAACGTACGCCACTTTAAAATTCAATATAACAAAATTTTCTTGAAAAAGTCTGAATTTTTTTTCATATTTCAATAGTTTACACTAAAATGACATAACACATGAAGTTTCATCCACCTGATTACACTTAATGCGAATCAATTACAATAAAATTATGTTTTGGGTCGCGAACGTACGATTAGAACATATGTAGATAAGAATCAAAATACAAATTAAGAGGTAATTGAACATTTTTTCGCTCTCTTTGAATTTTTCTCGTCTTATTAGATTGTTATTAAGAGATTTAGTACAAAAAGAGAAACACATCATATGTTTTCCTTGAGAAATAAATAAACATAAAAATGTCTTTAAATGTAAAAAAAAGGTGAAAATTACATATTTTGACTTTTTGTGCTTTTTAAAAAAAAAAAAAGCTGGGATATGCTATGAATCCAAAAGATTATGATAAATGGATATTTATTTATCAAATTACAAAAAAAGAATCGAGGAATATGGACATTTATTTTTTCGGTCCTGGTTGACGATCTCCGGAATAGCCCATATGTATTGAGTGCCGACCACTGGTTTAAAATAACGCGTTTAGAAATTTTTTGGCGAAACGGGTTTTTCATAAATATGTTTCATAAATCAAGGTTTTTAGGGTGCTATGAATATTTCAAACATGTCACTTGAAAAATTCCTCGCCTACTCCCGCCCCCAAAACAGAAATCTGGTTGTAGCCCCAGTTCGTTAATGTAATGTAAAAATGTTTTTGGAAAATGTTTTGAAGACAAAATCTAATGATGGCAAATCTACACCAACAAATCAAAAAGCAGCCAAATCGGATAATTTTTAGAAGAGTAAAAGACTTTTTAGTCTGTTTCCCTACCGAATTGGTAGTGTGGCCGTAGGCTTGTTGTTTTGTCCAAGCGTAAAGGATGCAACAAAAATGTGTTCCTGAAAATCCATAACAATAAAGCATAGTACTGAGTTGACGAAAATCCGCTGCCCAACGAGTGACAGCTGTCAAACTGCATATAAAAAAACGGTGTAAAAAAGGAAAGAAGAAGAAATTTTTGCCTTCTAGATTTTGCGGGTACTGAGTTGACGAAAATTTTTGTTATCGATTTTAATCGTGTTGCCGGATCAAAAAAAATAAACAGCTGCTCTCGGGGAGTTAAAAGAAATATTTGAATTTATTTTTATAGGTGTGACATGGAGGGTCAATTGACCAAACAAAAAAATAGTCGGCCCGAAAAATTTATGGCGCGCGAGGATAAGTTGAAATTAATTAGTGCGATCAAGACGAAGCCCATAATATGGGCTTTGACCCACAAGGGGCATTTTAATTCCATAAAATTTGAAATGATTTTTGATTGATTTTGATTTTGACCCAGTTTTCTTTTTCTTAATCAGCTCCTTAACGGCGAGATACATCAACAAAACACAAACATCCAATTAATTTGAATTAATTTTTGCTTATTGGTTTTTTGTTTACAAACAACAGCTGTTCAGTATTACCATATTTCTTAATTTTTTTGGTCACACTAGCTCGGTAGCTGAATAAAGTGCGATATCGTTATCGGATTTTCAACAGCGGATTTTCGTCAACTCAGTACTATGCTTAACCTTTTAAGGCAGTGGTGGGCAAACTCTCATTTTACATGCCGCAGCGCTGCCGGAACACTGTCAGTATATTTTCAGTACACTGTCAGCACCCTCAAATTTTTTTAGAAGCTCTCTCATTTGCTCCCATTTTTCCTCATTGGACAGGGGAAAATTAAAAATAAAATTAACAAAAAAATAAATTTTTCGACTGAGAAAAATTTTCTCAAAATTTGGTTAGAACAAGTTTTCTCCATATAAAATATAGATTGTTTAAGAACTGCTGCTAGAAAAGCTTTCTCTAAAAAACATACACTATTTTAGTGCCCATTCCAACTTTTGAATTAACGAAAAATTAAATAAAAAACTACGTTTTTTTCGCTCATGTTCGCATGTTTGCGTTTTGCCCACCACTGTTTTAAGGTTCGTTTAAGTGCGGGTAAAAGAGATGGGTACCGTGTATAACATAGTCGTGAAACTCGACTATAGCTGTCCGTTCTGTTATACCCTTGTCTGTCTGTTAATCCCTTGCAGAGAGTATTGTAATTTTGGTCAAAAGTGTGCAACGCAGTGAAGGAGACATCTCCGACCCCATAAAGTATATATATTCTTGATCAGGATCACCTCATGAGTTGAAGTGAGCATGTCCGACTATCTGTCAGTTTCTACGCGAACTAGTTTCTCAGTTTTAAAGCTAGTCTTTTTTCCTTTTCACGCAGTATATAAGTCGGAACGGCCGGGATCGGCCGACTATATCCTATAGCTGCCATATAACTTATTGATCGGAAACGCTATAACTTTGGTGTTTTTAAAGTTAGAGAGTTCAGATTTTGTACGAGTGCTATTTTTGGCTGACTATAACCTATAGCTGCCATATACATAACTGAACAATCGGAAATGAGCCAACTTTCGTGTTTTTGAAGATTGAAAGCTTGAACTTCGTACAGATTCTATTTTTGGTCAGTTTATCCCACCAACCAAATTTCATATCAATCGGCCGATTATATCTTATAGCTGTCATATAACTGAACGATCGCAAATGGTATTTGGTAAAAATACCAATTTTGGTGTTCTTGAAGCTTGGGACTTTTTTTTAGATTTTTCATTGTAATAAATTGGCAGTATTATGATATTCTCAGAAGGATCGACCAACTATATGCTATTTTTTCGATATATATTCTGCTTTAACTACATATATCAATATCCCTTCTTGTTTTTTTTTTTTTTTTTTTTTTTGTAGCACTGTTTTATTATTACAATTAACAAACTTTAAGGTAATTTTCTCTGCTACAAATTTTTAATTTTAATTTTTTAATTTATTTATTATTAAACATGATCTGTTATTTTAAATTATTATAATTAAAAGTAAGGCTAAATTATGCTAGCAGACCCTTAATAATCAATTAATAACAAATGGGAAAATGGGTTGCAATTCTTACAAAGAATACGAAGAGGATCTAAAAATTAGATCGGAAGGACCTAGGATTGGAATCCACATGACCAAGAATTGCAACTCGAGAATATATGAATAGATGTTTAATTATTTTTGAGCTTATGACCGTTCTTATTGTTTTAAACAAAAAAAACACTCACATTTTTAAAAAATTTTGTAATGATAGATACAGGATCTATTTTTTTACTGGCTTAAGTTTTAGCCCCTAGTCCAGAACGATATGAAAATAAAATGTTTTTATTTAATGATAAAGTCCCACTTCTCTCCAGACGATTTTTTGATGTTTTAATGGAAAATAAATTTATTAATGAATTTAAGTCAAACGTATTATGCAAATGGCTATTAAATAAATTCCGATATAAAAATGGTAGTTACATAAAGTATTACAATTAACACTCATGCCACCCTAATGTATGTATGTACATACATACATGCATAGGCTTAGACGGCTGTCGGCTTTGTCGGCCGTTTCTTAGACCGTATTCGGTCCCTTGTAAGATATGTAACATACATACAAATGTATTTCAATGAGTTGGAAACCAAGAGAAGTTTATCAACTACCTGGAACCAGTCGGTATTTGAGCCAGTGTTTCGTCTCAATTATATCGTTCACGTAAATGAACCGAACCGGTTCGTGGACAACCTTAGATTGTTTTTTCAGAGCTAGGCTCAGTTCAGCTCGTCGCAGATCAACTAGTTGGTAGTGTGTATTTATGCAGGTTATTAACTTTCACTTTGCTTACAACAAGCTGCGAGCCAGCCTACGCGTAAAACACAATTTAATCGGTGCTGCCGTGGATGAAATTTAAATATTAGAATCGGGACCAACGGAAAGAATGTAAGCAGTTTCGACAATGGCGTCAATGGGATCCAAATACGAGCGTATATTAGGCGACTGTCAGGCGAAGAACATACTATGGGAGGACCCCGATTTCCCCGCCTTGCAATCCTCCGTTTTTTATTACCAGACACCTCCATTTACTTTTCAATGGAAGCGGATCGCAGAGCTAAACCACACTCAGGCGGTCTTCCTTAGCGAGGGTGCCGAGTTTGACGTGGTGCCCGGGAAAATGGGAGACCGCTGGCTAGTCTCATGCTTGGGCGTGCTATGTTCGCTAAGGAATCTGTTCTACCGCGTCGTGCCCGCTGATCAAACTCTTGCTAAGGCACATGGCGTCTTTCGCTTTCGGCTATGGTGGTGCGGCGAATGGATCGAGGTGCTTGTTGATGATCGCCTGCCCACAATCAACGGTCGCCTGGCGTTTATGCAGCCACAGGGCTCTCAATGTTTTTGGGCTGCGCTTCTAGAGAAGGCTATCGCCAAGCTTCACGGCTCTTATGAAGCCCTTAAGTATGGTACGCGGTCCGACGGACTTACCGACTTACTCGGAGGTGTAGTGCGCTGCATGCCAATCGTTAAGGACACCATTCGACCACAGACACTTAAGGATCAATTAGCCACAACCTGCATAGTCACCTGCCTGGCGACTAAAAACGTTTCGGTTCAGAAAAAAAACGTAGCGGAACGACTTCCCAATGGGATCCTGTTAAACATCAATTATAGGTATCAAATCTTTAAGTATCGTTACATACACTTTATTTCAATAATTCAGATTCACTGTACAATTTTCGGAATGGCCCAGAGTATCAGAATAACAGGCTATTTCGAGATATATGTATTTGAAAATATCAAGCAAATTTAAAATGTTTGCAAACTAAAGACACGCTGGGCACCAAATGCTGGGCATATTAACTCAAACATATCGTGATTTAGTTTTGTAATAAGCAGATTTTGGATATATACATATCGGCCCTTATATAAAAAAAATGGTTATGTGTCAATCGCAGTGCACAATTTCTATCGTCATCCCATTCTTTTTTACAGAAACAAGTCGCTCAGCTCAGCTGATTTGTAAATCGCGAAAAAAACATTTAAAAACAAACTTTTAGTTTTATTTTTCACAAATTTTTTGTGATTTTTACCTTCATTTATTTTATTATTTGCCAATTATTATTTATAGTTCTTGTCAATAGTGGACGTAGATTTGTTTCAAGCTTTCTCAGTGGTTTAATGGAATGATTGAGTTTGATATAAATTATTTAGTTGGCACCAAAAGTTTTAGAATCATATAATTTAACGATACAATATGGTGTCTTTGATCCCAAATATTAAATTGGAATAAGATAATAATTTGAAAGTTAAAATGAGTTTCACTGTTTTTTTCAGGCTTTCCGGTTTAGATAAAGTAGAGACCCTCATGGGCGACTCCGTGCAGTTAATAAGCTTGAGGGATACATTTTCAACCAAACCCTTCGGGGAAAAAACGAATTTCCTCGGTGATTGGTCGCCACTCTCAAAGATGTGGGAACGTGTTTCACAAGCGGAGCAAGAACGTTTGATCACTCACCTGGGCCCAGGCGAATTTTGGATATCATTTTGCGAATTTGTACAGATCTTCACCAACTTGGAAGTAGTCTACCTCGACTCGGACACGGCCAACGACGAGGAGGTGCTGAAAAATCGCCCTTTTCATTGGAAAATTAAAATGTACCAAGGCCAATGGAAACGCGGAGTGACGGCTGGAGGTTGTCGAAACCACGAATCGTTTCACATAAACCCCCAGCTATTAATTTCTATACAGGATCGGCAAGATGTCGTAATCGCCCTCAACCAGCACACAGCTGTAGAGCCAAAAGTGATTGGATTCACAATGTACACATGGGACCGTGACTACGGTTTCAATGAGTGCTTACCGAAGGACTTTTTTAAAAGTCACGTGAGCCTTCTTAATTCGGATTACGGAAACACACGACACGTAAGCTATCACACGCAGCTGGAAGTGGGTCACTACGTACTTATTCCTACTACTTACGAGCCAGGTGAGGAAGCACATTTTACGGTGCGGATCCTGGGTACAGAATCCTTAAGGCTTTCCTGCCTTGAAACAGAGACCATGATACTGCTTGACCCATTTCCCGCTCTCAAGACTGAGGAAAGCGGTAGTAAGGAAAAGAACGTATGCCAGTACGAGCCCATTTACATGCAGATAGCTGATGAAAACAAGACTATCAACTGTTTCGAGCTTCATGAGCTTCTTGAAGCCTGCCTTCCCAATGACTACATAAAGGGTTGTGCCAACATTGACATATGTCGTCAGGTGATTGCGCTTCAAGATAAGTCTGGCAGTGGGCGCATTACCTTTCTGCAGTTTAAGACCTTTATGGTGAATCTTAAGTCCTGGCAGGGCGTTTTCAAGATGTACACCAAAGAAAAAGCTGGAATTTTGCGGGGCGAACGCTTACGCGACGCCCTCTGCGACATTGGTTTTCAGCTCAGCACCGACATTATGAACTGCCTCATACAGCGCTACATTCGCAAAGATGGTACACTGCGCCTAAGCGACTTTGTGTCGGCCGTCATTCATCTGACCACTGCTTTCAACCAATTCAACTTAAAGAACTACAGCCAAGTTAATGTGATCGAAGTTCACCTAAACGACTGGATTAAAAGCATCTTAAGTTCTTAAACGCGCAAATATCACCTAATCAGTGTGTTCCTAATCTATTGGCAGTTTCAATATTCTCAGGTGCTCAGATTAAATTTGAAATATTTATATAATTCATTGGATTTTTAATTGAGAATTTTTTAAAATTAAAATAATTATTTTTTTAATATTTTATCTCAATGTGGTAGAGCATTGCTCATTAAGATTAGCCGAGTATTTCCACTGGTTTCCAAAAATCTTAAAAGAATTATACCAAAAAATTTTTCAGATGTTTATACAATTTAAAACAAAAAGAAAAGCTAAAACCGGATAAAACCGGATATATATCGCACACATGAGATATAGTTGGGATCCTTATGAAAATAACATAATATAACTAGTTTATTACAATACAAAATCTAAAAAAAAAGTCCCAAGCTTTTATCTTCAAAAGTAACAAAGTTGATATTTTTACCAATTACCAACTTACCAACCAATATCAACTCAGGAGGTGATCCTGATCAAGAATATATATACTTTATAGGGTCGGAGATGTCTCTTTGTCTTCCTTAATACCCTCTGCAAGGGCATAAAAACTAATATTTGAAAGATAGCTCTGGACTAATGCGATTCAAGATATATTTTCGCGGCTTTAATATATCGCGGCTTCTGTGATAAAATAATTAATCACAGATGGGCGCAAAGATGGATATATTAGCTTGGATGGGAATTCTGACCAAGAATGTATATTATCTTTGTATGTAAATATTTATTCTTTACACAAATATTCTTTCAGAACGAAATTAGAGTAGGGGCTAGCCCCTATTAGATAGAGAGTAGCCCTATAGCCCTAGAGTAGCCCTATTAGATCTATTAATTAGAGTAGCCCCTGCAGGGCTATATTGAAACGTTAATTCTTGAAATTCAATATTTATTTTAAAAATTAAGGCTTTCATTCCAAAAAAAACATAAAGTTATCCTAGCCTATTCACCTGCATACAACATTCCTGACCACAAAAGGCATTACACTCCAGGAAACGTTCAAAAAATAATACTTACGAGGACATATAGGGCATATATAGTATGATACTTCCGAGATTTCTAAATTACATCAGTAAAACAAATCTAATAAACTTAAAAAAAAATTTTGTTCGCTTTTCAATTTTTGCACTCTTTATTGAAAATTTGATAAAAACAAAAAATAAATGGATTTTTATTATATATTAGTATTTTTAAAAAGTAAGTTTTATTAAATATTTCAGTTTCAAAATCATAGACTTTGATCGAACTGAGCTATTAGTTTATACGCATAGTTTCAATATTTATGTTTTATGTATGTATGTATATGTACGAGTGTACATACTGCTTATGACGGCGCGAGTATTATGCGTAAATATAGTACACTATCTGACTTTATCTTAATAAGCTTAATTAAATCTTAGCTTAACTGTGCGTATGCGTCCTTCGCAGGATTTGGATTATATAAAATCTTTTCTATTCTATCGTGCAGTAAAGGCGAAACTGAGATATTTAAACAAGGGAATTTCCACAAGGTTCTTTGGTTCCTTGTCAGAGCTACACCAGACTCAAAACATACAAAGCATTAAAATAATAAAAATATCAGTAAATTGGAACAGTAAATTTTTGTTATGTATAGACGGACTGGACCACTACTGACCCAGACTGCCTTTTAATTTAAAATACTTAGTCCTTAGTAGTTCTTAGTAGTCTTTGGCTGATCCGTACTGCTCCTTACATCGATGTTCCGTTGTGTGAGGATGCGTCACTGATCCGGCGGCAGAGCGTTGTCTTGCGGCTCGTGGTTAGTGTACTTGATTCAGGGCCGGATTTTGAGCCGCTGTTGAATTTCGAGGGGGAGTTGTACTGCGATTCGACGCTGGACGAGGTCTCGTTTTTAGGGTCCAGAACACGCATTGGAGAACACTTTAGAGATCCTGTAACATCGTGAGGCTCTTGGTATCCAGAGTCCATGTCGTCGTGATATGATTCCATTAAGGGCGTGGGGTCTTCATAGTCATAATCAACGAAGCCATTATTGTCAAAAGACTAGAGAACATAATCATAATGTTAAAATACAGAGTGTACATTTTTCATACATGTATATCAGTGGTCGGCACGGCCCAATCCCAAGGGCATAGGAAATTTCTCTGCCCGAGCTCTGCCTCACACACACAATATAAATGTGTGAAACGTCATGCTCACAGCCTTCTTTCTGCAATTGTTACTAACCCTAATGCGTTAAAATCATATCAATGCATTGGGGTGCCGACCACTGATGTATATACATATATTACAGGAACCATTAGAATTTATAAAAAGGCATAGCTTGCTGATCTTACGAAAACAGGTTAAATAGTTTATATGCAGGGCAGCTATGACTTAAAAAAATGTGATGTAAGTAATTTAATGTATCTTGTGTCGGATGTTAAATCCGACAGCCGTCTACACCTAACCTAACATAATTTAATTAAAACAAGAAAGGAAAGCTAACTTCGGGCGGAGCCAAAGTTATAATACCCTTGCAGTTAAACACGGATATATATCGCAAAAATCGAATATAGTTTGCTGATCCTTATGAAATTTGGTATGTCGTATTATTTTGCGAAAAATCAAATATCAATCAAAAATAAAAACACTAAAGTTATAGCATTTCCGATCCATCAGTTATATGCCAGCTATAGGATATAGTCAGCCGATCTTGTTCGTTCCGCACTGGGTACAAAGAAAAGAAGGGTGTGTGCAAATTTTCAAGTCGATAGCTTTAAAACTGAGAGACTAGTTTGCGTAGAAAATAGTTTTGAAGTGCAAACAACATTTTCTTTTTTTTATTCCCGGTACTCGAAGTTTACAGATGTATATTGTAGTCGTGTGAATGTATGAAACATGGAGAAGGAATCATCTCCGACCCCATAAAGTATATATATTCTTGATTAGCATCAATAGCCATGTCCGTCTGTCTGTCCGTCCATATGAACGCGTGGATCTGTGAGACTATAAGAGATAAAGATATAGGATTTGGCATGGAGACCCCTACAATACCCACGCAGTTTAACTTTGATTTTAAATGTTTTCCCCCACAAATCACAAAAATAGATTATCACAAATAAAAAATTGAGCTATGCGCGCCAGTGCAATTTTTTTGAAAAATGTTTTGATGCCAAACTGTTCTAATGGCCAATTTACACCCACAAATCAAAATTTAGACGAAGCGGATAATTTTTAGAGATATTTTTTAAAGAAGTTATATAATTTTTAGAGAAGTTATAGACTTTGTTATTCTGCTTCCCTGCTGAATCGGACGTAGGGGGGCTGAAGTTTCTGTTTCTATGCAACAATTTTTTTTCTGAGAATCCAAGGTTTAACTTTAAAAGTTAGTTAAATTGTGGGCGGAAAAGATGAGTACCTGGTAAAATATAAAGAAGAAAATAAAGATACTCGGCTTTAGAAGTCCGGTATTGTTTTATATATGTTGGTATGTTTGCACCAAATACTTTATTCTGGGTCACAAAAGAAGAAAATGGGGAAAATAATAAAAACATTTTATATTTAAGGGGTTTAAGTAACATTAATATTTAAGTAACATTTAACTTATTGTCAGTGTTACGCTGAATTCGCGGCCAATCACATCGATTTATTGTACTTGCTTTGTAGGCAAAGGAAAAGCTGTTGTTGTTGGTTAAAATTGGCTGTAGGTAAAAAGTACGTTCCCGACATCCCGACCTTCCGAACCGAAACTTAATTCAATTTGAAAAAAAACCATTGAAGATATTTTCTTATTTAAACACTCTATTTTACATTAAACTCAAATCAACTTCTATTTTGCGTACGTTCTGAACCGTAAGTTTTGTTTGATTATTATGAAAACTATGTAAAACTCAATAAACTATATTATTTGCATTAAGCTTAGAGCTAATAATTAGTTTCAGAAAATAATAAATGTATGCAGTTTCGAGTCTATTGCTTCAAAACTGAGAGGCCAGTTCGCGTAGAAACAGACAGATGGACGTGCTTATGTCAACTGATCGTAAGGAGGTCATTCTGATCAATAATGTATATACTTTATAGAGTCGGAGATGTGTCCTTCACTTCTACACTTTTGACCAAAACTATAAAACTCTCTGAAAGGGTATAAAATCAGTAATTTTCCAGTGCAAGTGAATATAAGTTTCGAGCCCTCTGAAGTATTGTTTATTGGATTCCTATGCTTTCTTTTCGATTTTTTATTGTTTTATGGTTAATTGGAATAATTTCAGTAAATTGTATGACAGGTTTTTTGAAGACAAGCATTGTAAATGTTTGTATAAATATTAGACTTTTAAATGTAATGGAGCCTATCTGCAGCCTTTTTAGGGTCCTATTTTTATATCCTCATTTATTTTATTTTTGTACTATAATGTAATTTTTAAGTTTTTTATATAACATATACTTACATACCCTTTATGTAGGTACGTAAACCTCTTACCTTCACAAAAGACTGGGAGTGCTTGGCATATCCGCGAAAAACTTGGTGCTGAGATTTTCCACGATAATCAACAGATTCGTAGTGCCCGCCGTCCTGCGAGTTTTCAATGATAAAGTGCCGGGTGCCATGAGGAGTTAGAGTGGCCCACAGCAGGCGACTGTCGTTGACCAGCTGACTCTGGAGTAGATCCCTACTGTTAGCCGTGGCACAGGGATACAAAATGCCGCCGGAAGTGAAGGCATTTGACTTGGCGGCTTCACCAAGAGCATTGATAGTAGTCTGCTTAATGTTGGCGTCATGATAGGAGAAGAAATACCTTTAATTAAAAAGATATTTTTAAATAGGGTTTAGATAACTTTGTTATAGATCAAATTACTCCCTGCAGCGAATCACTATAAGAGCCAAGAAACATCCCAGCACGAAAATTCCAACACAGAATGAGATGAAGAGCCAAAGGTTCTCGAGACTTTTAGAGTCGTTTCGCACCAGTTCCATTATTGCATTGCCACTCTCGTTTCGGTTGTGCGCCTGTCTACACATAAATGTGGCGAAACATGGCTGAGACTCATTTAAGGAAATCAAAGCGTCTACTGTCGCAGGTTTTGAAATGAGAAACAGTGGCAGCGGTGGCGGCGGCATCGATAGAATGAAGTCGGGTGGCGGACCAGCCAGCTGGTCACAGCGACCTATGCAGTTTCCGTAAAACATGTTCCTTTTTTTAACTACAAACAGAAACAACAAAACAAAAAAACGTATTATAAAATAAAAATTGTCCTCAAAATCCTAAATATCTGCTTCAGAGGGCATGAATTAGTCTGTATAAATCATATACTGACTTTAATTACTTGGTCAAACAATTTACTGGTTCCCAATTTTTTCACAAAATGTATTAACTCTCCGGTTACACCCACAAGTATGTATGTATGTCTATGCAATCACAAGTTTGTGTGCTAAGGATTGCGATTCGCCAATAATTAAAACACTGCATTTATAATCGAAACAAAGGGTCAGAAAAAAAAAATTTGCACACCTTAAATTTCTTTTCTTGTCCCAACGAACTTCTTTTCTGTACTGAGGAAAAACTATCTACAATACGTGGTTTCGTTACCAATGCGCGCGCATCAGCTCGAAAAGTATAACTTTCCAGACGTGATTCCTCCTGTTATTTTGGTCAACTAATGTGTGAAAACCTATCTACAAACTACGTTTTATCGAGGTATTTGGTATAATGTAAATTTTGAAAAATGTCTCAAGTATCTGCGTTATCAATAAAGTTATTGCATTTTCGATGAATCAGTTATAAGACAAATATAGGGTATAGTAAGTTGATACCGGCTGTTCCGACCTTTACCCTGCGTGCAAATAAAGGAAGGATGAATGAGAAGTTTTAAGTGGATAGCTTTAAAACTGAGAGATAAGTTTCCCAAGAAACATACAGAAATCAGACGGACTTGCTTATATCGACTTAGGAGCTTATCCTGATCAAAAATATATATATGTACTTTAGGGGAAAGGAGATGTCTCCTTTACTTCCGCTTTACTTCTCCTTTTCTTTTTTTTAATTCTTATTTATTCTTATTCAACAACTCCAAAAAACTACATTGGGATGTACATACATATGTATGTACATATGTACAAAAATACTTCCTGTATATATATCGAATTGCTTTTTTTTATATATGTAAAATACTGTTTTGATATTGTGTTATGAATATCAGAATCAATGACGACGCACTATGGGGCCAACGAACACTTTTTGAGGCCTTAAATAATATCAGTAAATCGAATAAGATTTTTAACTGAAGTTATTTTTAGTTACAGCAAAGTTACAGCTTAGGGACCTAAAAAGCTAGTATAGAAAAGTGCGCGTGTCAGCGCCCTCACCGTTCACAAAAACCACAAAAAATGGTATATTTCGGAAGTTTTGAAAACCTTTCAAATAAAATCATCAATATCCGTTTACATTACAGGCAGATAAATAAAATATTTGGAGAAAAAATATGGAGAAAAATATTAAAGCTAATGACTTAAAAATATACCAAATATTCTATTTGATATTTTAAAAATTTACAAAAAATTTTCTCTAGATAAAAACATAAAAGTTTGGATAAACATTTAAAAACATTGGATAAAAAAGTTATTCAATCAAGAATGTGCGACAACAGAGCCAAGTAAAAAAAATGTTTTTTTTGCTGTAACACTCGAGGTTGCCTCAGAAAAATGCGAATTGCTCAAAAAGTCCACAAAAGTGCAAGTGTTTTAAAAGAGGAAAAAACACTCTATAAGACAGTATAAATATTAAGGTGCAACTAGGTGAAACTTTTTTTTTCTCTATTTAAAGTTGAGGGTTCCCATTGACATTTATCCTTTAAAGGGGTACCCATATACACGATTTTTATATATACCCATATACACAGATATAATTTTTCGATTAATTTTTCGATTAAGATCTTCTATTTTCTTCGAAAAATCGCAGCTGATTCTCACATACATATATGACTTACCAAAAAAAATGTTGGGTACCAAAAAAAAGGTCATTAAATACTTCATTGCATTTTGCATTTAATGCTTTGTAATTTTCGTGGTACACTCTTTCCGAATGTCTGATCAAGTTTATAGTGCATATGCATACATAATTTTTCGTTTGGTTGTGAGAGTCGAAAAGGTTAAACTGTTTTTTCGAAAAATATGCCCTGGTCCAATAAATTTTCGAATTTGGTCAATAAACGATATTGCTGTCGAATGTTATGTATAGGTACTAATAGATAATTTTTTGGTTGGTTACCTTCCTTATACCAAAATGTGTTCAAAGAACACTGTAATATTGTTTTATTGTTTATTGTTTGTTTATTTTTATTAAATATTTTAGACATTAATTTGGTTACCTGTAACATTAACCATATCACATGTAAACTCGAAAGAACTTACTTTATAAACCTTAATTTCCTCTTTAAAATTAATGTTTACAATTTTTTCGTATATACACACAGAAGTTTGATTTCGATTATCTCAAATGAGTCAATCTTGTTACTTCTTATCCGAGTAAGTCATCACGACGCCCACAATTAAAGCAAGGACAGTAAATCCCTGTGCCGCAATTCGGGTACGCATCATTAGCTGGGACATCTTTCGATTTCCAGTGCGAAAGTTATAGAGTCCAGCTGTTAATGCTGCTGAGGTAGCCAGACACCCTAAAAGAAAAACAATAATATATTGGTTTATATAACCTACAGACGATAAAACCAAAAAGCGCCTCCCCTTACCAATGGGTACAAGAGGATTCTCCTTTATCTTGCGCTGCAACTTTTCTTTCGTAGTCTCCACCTCGGCTATTGGACCCAGGTCTTGGCGCAACTGTACCCAGTCCAGCTCCTCGTCGGACAGGGGGATATTGGTCTTTTTGGACATTTCTAGCAGAATTAAATATATGCTACGGAGCTAGAGAGGAACACGCTCATTCATTGGCATTGGATTTTTTGAAACATCGATATTTTATAGACACTATCGATGTTTTTGTCACCTCACCGGGGATGTGCCCCCGAGAAGTCGATAGCTTTAAATCAGTGGTGCCCACACAAAACATTCCAGTTAAGCCTAGTACTGAGTTGACGAAAATCCGCTGTCGAACGAGTGACATATAAAAAAAACGGTGTTAAAAAGGAAGAAGAAATTTTTGCCTCCTAGATTTTGCGGGTACTGTGTTGACGAAAATTTTTGTTATCGAATTGAATGGCGTTGCCGGATCAAAAAAAATAAACAGCTGATTTTGGGGAGTTGAAAGAACTAATTTTATTTATTTCGATAGGTAAAACATTTTGATTTTGACCCAGTTTTTTATTTCTTAATCAGCTCCTTAGCGGCGAAATACATAAACAAAACACCAACATCCAATCGTTTTGAATTCATTTTTGCTTTTTTTGTTTTTTGTTTACAAACAACAGCTGTTCAGTATTACCTTTTTTCTTAATTTTTTTGGTCACACTAGCTCGGTAGCTGAATAAAGTGCGATATCGTTATCGGATTTTCAACAGCGGATTTTCGTCAACTCAGTACTAGGCTTTAGCAATTGTAGTTTTTTTCATTGATTTTTTTTGTAGAACGATGCCAGAATATTGGTTTTTTGGCCGAACCACCCAGAGAGGATAGATTATGTCTCACTCGCTCATTTTCGCTCAACTCTCACGAGAGAATCTCTAAGAAATTTAAGCCTCTCCATCGATTCTATTTGAATTAAGGATGTAGTCTCATGTGTGAGGTTGAAAAAATCAAATTTTTTTTTTCAAATATTTCGATAGTATTGTTTATTAAGAATGTACTGTTAAAGTTTCAAATAAAAATATCAAATAATGACAGAGATACAGCCCATAATCGAGAGCGCGCCTACACCGAAAAGTATGAGTTTCTCGGTAGCCTCTAAACTTTAAACGCGTTTTTCTCGGAACGACATTTTTGTGTGCGGCGCAGGTGATTCACAAAATTCTATGGTACCGATGTAACTCAAATTTGGATATGTTGTTCTAAAAACACCTCTGTAACACCTCTGTCCCGTACTAGAATCAATTATTTTTAACGATTAGTTTTTTTTTTTATCATTAATTTAAGATAAATTTTGTAAATTAAAAAAAAATTTTTTTTTTGTGTGTTCGCCATTTTGTTGTTTATTGATGAAAATATTTCATTCTAGTACGGGACAGAGCCATAAGCTTACAAAACAATAATCTATTCTAATTTTTTGTTTCGGATGACTCTAGCAGTCGAAATCACCTGCGCCAGGGACCTACCTTTTTTTTTATATGCATACTTTGGCATGCTATAAAGTGTATTAAACTACACAAGAATAAATTAAACAAAATATTTTCAAATAGTTTATGATGCTTATAAAAACATATGTGAAAATTGAAACGATCGCATTATTTTTTATTACAAAAAAAATTTTTTGAAATAACCTCTAAAAAGTAGGCCGGAACATGAGACTACATCCTTAAGACGAAAACCAAAATGGCTATCAAAATTGAATATCCTAGGTATTTTATTTATTGATATATGTATGTACATATACAACATTTTACAAAGCTTAAACAAGTTAACGCACAAAGGGAAATGTATCATTAGCAGCCTATGCATTTAGATGCATTTTTTATTAATAAAAACGTTGCTGCCGAATATATAAAATATAATTTTAATGTTAACGAAATTCGTATTATTTTTATTCCAATTTTTTTTTTATGTATGCTTAAATATACACGTACAGTACATACAACATATTCTGTTCCAGTCCGACTTACATATGTAGATTCTATCATAAAACAATGGCCATTTTTGTTGTGATAAAAGATTTTATTTAATATTTAAGATAGATGTAGCAAGCAAAGCGCCATCTGTTGTTCACTAAAAACTAAGAACACACAAATACAATATCGTTGTTTCAGCTCTTAAAAACTTTTTGTGAGATTTTTTTAATCAAAATAATCTATAAATATATAATAATAAATGTATTTTGGTGTTTTCAACAGTCCGGCAACTTTCATTTATATTTGTTTTTCTGTCTGGCAAGGTCTAGCCAAATGGATATTTTTGACTCTCTTTGTTAAAATACAACGAAAGAGGAAAAAAAGAGAGAGCTGGGAAGTACAGTCAGACTGCGAACACAAAATGAAACATGTGTATTTATTGAGCACTCTTGTTAAAGTGCCTCTGTATGCTATGTTGGGTATGTATCGGTGTAATGTATTGATGCATATAAAAAAAATTTATGTATGTATGTATGCTTCTAAAGAAATTATGAAGGTATACATACTTAACAATGTACATATATTAGGTGCTTATGATGTACAAAAAACGTTTTTTAATATAAACTTACGGTATTGGGCCGTATAAATATCAGTAATGACATGTACAAACATACATATATGTATGTATCTATGTAATCCCTTTCAATATTTTGAATCAATCAATGAATATAGACCAAATGTGTATATAATTATTATAGAACATGTATGTACATATGCATTGAATGGTACATAAGTACGAGTGAATTAAATTTACAGTCCGAAATTCTCCTTGCCATCCTTTTCCACCACCTTTTGTATGTAGATATATACAGTGTAAATGAGAGCGAGAGAGATGCGATAGATTGCTTGCTCATAAACTGTACTCCAAATGGACTCTTTCTGGCTTTCACGCTCTGCCTTTCGCTCGCTCCGGTTTTCCTCCGTCGCTTAGCGTACACACACAACAGCCACCCGCTCCCACTCATACTCGCTCTCTCGCACACTATTGCGCATACGACGCATACAGAAGATTGCTGGGCTTGCTGGCTTACGAAGCATAGCATGGCAAAGACCAGAGACAGCAATTCAATTCAATAGCCTTTGCTTTGCATTCGTTGTTGGTACTCTGTGTGTGTGTTTTCAATCAGGCGAGCGGCGCGCGAACGAACCTCATCTTTTCCGCATTGCCACCAACAAAACACAGCGATACAATACACAGCGTTGCAGAGCTGTTTGTTTATTTTTTACTAACTAAAAACAAACGCAAAACAGATTTCTAGCTTACCCGCGTTGCTGATGTCACAAAAACCCATTCATTGCGTTACGGTTGTTTTTTTTTGCGTGTGGTGTCGTCGTAGAATCAGTGACTTTCGATTTAACGAGTGGCGTTTGCTTTAAATTGCCGTTTACTTGCATGTATATACTTACGTACAATAATCAATAAGATATACAACCTGAAAACCTAAGCTCCAGCGTACGATAAAAGTCGTAGAACAGTATTAAAGGCTGTCTGAAGAACTGGCTTGGACTGCCATTGCTTTCGTTAGTGTGTGTAGTGAAAAAAAAATAAAAATAGTGAAAACACGATTCACCACCGGATTCCAAGCAACTGAGACAGACTCTCGAAACGATCCGTACGATCGGAGTCATTCCTATCGCTTAGTAATGGAACACTTTCATCAAATTCAGGTAAGATTCGTGCAGGTATACCACTGTAGTCATATTAACGTTTTGACACAAACACAATTGCACGCACGCACACAATATAAATATGTATATGCACATACACTAGCGTGAAAGAAACACGCTGTTTGTTTCTTAGACTCATACCGCGAACTTCGCTATGTAAAATTAATATTATTTATTTAACATATTAAATACAGTATTAAATATCAAACTTAATTTATAGTGACACGAGAACTGGCCCTTCGACTCAAAATTTTGGCCGTATGCCGTATTATACAGTATAAATTTTTCCCGCCAAAGTGGCTAATAAATAACTATTCTGAAGATGAATTCAATAATTGCCATTTAAAAATTTATAAATTTATTGAACACACTCTTCTTTTATACTTTATTTTTTTTTATATATATTTTATAGAAACGAGCTAGTTGGTATATGTGTGCGCGTATGCATACAAGCAAAAGCGACGCTGTACAACCAACATTTTATTTTGCGTGCGCATCTAGGGCCGCCATTTTTTTATTAGTTTGTATGAAAAAATACATGCATAGTAATATGGATATATTGTATTGTGACAGCGCTTTTTAAGCTTTAAATTTCATTGTAACTTGTTAAATTTATAATCCATACCATTAAAAAAAATTATACATAAAGAAATCCTAAATTTTAAACGATTTTAAACAAATGAGCATTGTTAGCTTGTATGTATGTAGGCATATAAGTTTGTAAACCTTGCGTAATCTCAAATTTTATATTTTCCGCATGTGCATAAAATAAGTGTCAAATACAAATGCACATAGGTATGTACATATGTGTGTGTTGGGTGTTTAGTGGTTCTCTTATGCGACACAAATTTTTGCGAATATACGTACATATAAATACATATGTATGCATACATATTTAATATAATAGTAAAATTTTTTTTACAGTTACTGTTATTTATTCGATAACGTTATTCTATATAGCAATTCTTGTGTCAATTTTATATGCTCCTATATATTCTCGCTCGAAGCTATTGAGCTTGGCTGTTATTCGATCGTCTAACCACTCTGTGGTAGCGAGCTTTAATGTTTAAAATTAAGTATATACATATGTGATTAATTTGTTTGACAAGATAAAAACAGTGCAGTTCTTTTGTATGTATGTATGTATATGTATGCTTATTCAGTTTTTATCTCCACGCCAACAGCTGGTTGAAAGCTTTATTTGTAAACAAAAAAGTAGCCTTGCTGGATTTATCTATGAGTTTTTTTAGTTTTCTGTTGAAAAGATGTCTACACGAACAAATTCAAAGGGGTTGTAGTTATAAAAGTTTAAACTATAATATTTTTTTTATTCCTTTAAATTGTAAAATGTTAAGTTGAAAACAGATTGAAAAAAAGTATTTAATTTTATCCTATAACTTTTAAAAACACATACATATGTATATATATATTCATATATACTAGATCTCATTAATTATCTCATAATATTAATAAAATTGTTATTAAATGGAGTGTTGCTTTTATTTAATCATACCGCTAACATTATTGCAAAATATGCTATTAAAATTATTGTTAACTAAATACATATTAATGTAATAAACCAAATTATTAATTTTTAAACTCTACCACTATCAGCAGCAACTGGCTGCGCAACAACAACAGCAAGTGCAACAGCAACAACTGCAGCAACATCAAGTGGTAGTGCAGCAGAACCAGCAGCAAGCACACCAGAATAGCTCCAACACCACGGCCGGTGTTGGCACCCAGCAGCTGTTTACGTACAAAATGGCCAGCAGCTTCCCAAATCCAGCCACAACAATGGCCCAAGTAGTAGCCACCTCAAACGCCGCCGGAACCACGGGCTATGACTACCGCCTGAATATGGCACAGGCAGCAGCCGCCGCCGCCGTTCCCGGTTCCCAATGGTGGTACTCGGCTGCCAACCAAGGTCAAGTGGATGCCAACACAGCTGCACAGTTACAGCAACAACAGCAGCAACAGCAGCAGCAGCAGCAACAACAACAGCACCAGCAACAACAACAACAACAAATGCAGCAACAGCAGCAGCAACAGAACGTCATAAATTCAGCTGGGGTAAGTTATCAGATACCCATGTTGGGTACTGCAAGAACTGGATAAGTTTATTAATATCGGTTGGTTTTGGTCGACAGAGTCCAATGATCAGAGGAAAGGCAGACGCCAAGCCTAGAGGCCGCATGACCGCCTACGCTTACTTTGTACAGACTTGTAGAGAGGAGCACAAAAAGAAGCACCCCGATGAAACCGTGATATTTGCTGAGTTCTCACGAAAATGCGCTGAGCGGTGGAAGGTGAGTACGCAATTGTCCGTATTGTAATTTCCTGATTTCCTGACGTTGGATCACTTATCTTTAGACAATGGTAGATAAGGAAAAGAAACGCTTTCATGAAATGGCCGAAAAGGATAAGCAGCGCTACGAAGCGGAAATGCAAAATTATGTTCCACCTAAAGGGGCGGTCGTTGGTCGTGGCAAAAAAAGGAAACAGATTAAGGACCCAAACGCTCCAAAACGTTCATTGTGAGTTCGTAGCAAAATGAGTTACCATATTAACCTAAATGTACATACATATATAAATAGGTTCGAGAGAATACCACCATAAGTGAAATATTTCTTATTCGATTCTCTTTTTATTTTTTTATATAAAGGTCTGCGTTTTTTTGGTTCTGCAATGACGAGAGAAATAAGGTGAAGGCCCTTAATCCCGAGTTTGGTGTCGGCGACATCGCAAAAGAACTGGGACGAAAATGGTCAGACGTTGATCCCGAGGTGAAGCAAAAGTACGAGTCGATGGCAGAGCGAGATAAGGCTCGATATGAACGGGTATGTTATTTTTTTTTCGATGTCCGATGAGGAAAATTATTAAGTGTATTTTTTGGCTGTCTTAGGAAATGACCGAGTACAAGACAAGTGGGAAAATAGCTATGTCTGCACCTTCAATGCAGGCGTCGATGCAAGCACAGGCGCAAAAAGCAGCGTTACTTGCCGCCGCTGCACAGCAACAACATCAGCAGCTGGATGAACAGCACGACGACGATGACGGCGATGGCGATGATGACGAGAACCAATAGGTTTAGCAGTAATACTCTTCACTATTTATAAAAAAATGTCATTGATCATTACGATCCAGAAGGCATAAACATGGTAGCGTTGGCTGATCTATTATCAGGTTGGCAAATGTGTGTTGAATATATATACATATATATATATATATATATATATATATATATATGTAATATAAATATAATTATTTTTTTTTTCTAACAATAAGTAATCAAATTTCCATGAATTACGAAGGAGAAATCACAAAGAAACTTTTTGTAAGTTCTATGTTAAGGTGAATACTATTAAGTAAGGTTAGATTAAAGTAACGCATCTATCTGAAAACCTTATTTGTGCTTCGAGCTAAGTTTCTCCTAAAAACTAAGAATTATTTTAAAAACTGAAGAAATCCATTGTCATTCATTCTCAACAAGTACGAAAATTACCACTACATTTATAAATATTGGTACATATTTCCCATTTATTAAAGATAGATTCATATAAATGAATTATAAAAAAATGCGTTTGCTCATTCGAGTTGTCCGCCTCTAAACGACACTCGAGGAAACGTGATAAAGTCAAAAACTTAACTCAGTGGCGGGTAAAATCTCTATTTTTTCTTTCCATCTTTGCGTGTGCTTGTGTGTAACCACATCAAATCCCAAATCGGATCAAAACTAGCATTGCTTTTGATTTTATAACTATGCATAATCCAAACAGCATCTGGAGGTTCTTGCCCTTCGCCCCAATTTCTTTCCCTATTATCCACTTATTAGTTGTTGTTTTGAACTTTTATAAGCGACATTTTAATATAGCCTTGGGAAAAATGGCGGTAGTGTTTATTTGTAAATATATGCTATCAATTCTAATAGCTAAGAAATATTTACAATTTTCTGGGAGAAACGAAATTTGATTAATGAGTTGGCATAAAAAAGTATACTTACTATCATGATACAATTATATAATTATATTATTATATTAATTATATATAATTGTATCATGCTTACTATATCAGACACGGAAAAATATCTTGACTTGGCCATGTACATACAATTTGAAGTATTATTTAAAAAAGACTATCTAAAAATTAATGAGAATCGGATTGGTAATGCAACGTATTTAAAATATGTAGTCTCAGTGCCCACCTTCAGCTTCACATACTTGAAAAGTGTGGTAAGAGAGTCTGGTATTTCGTATTAGGAAAAAACAATCTTTGGCAACTACTACATGCCGTGATTCATATGCAACGTAATGATGGTGTTTATTATTTTTGACCTCCTTCCCCAAATAATTACACATGGAAAATTTAGTTTTTTTACTTACAGAATAAATCCTTAAATAGTAATCCTTAAATAACACAGTGCGACAAAAATAGAAAAGTTGGAGGAACTTTTGATTATAATCATTGTTCACTGTCCCTATGCCTCTCAGTGATTGCTAGACCATATTTTAGAGCATAGATGGGCAAGCCCATGGCTCCTCGGGCTCTCAAGGCTCCCCCCGTTATTCGTAATTTTTGGCGCCAGCAAATCGAGGCAGACGATCGAGTCGCGGGGTCAGTGAGCCGTGAAGATTTACAAAAACAATGCTACACAAATTCCGAGGCTGGTAGCGAGCCGAGTTCGACCCCGCGGTCCCGAGTTTGCAACGCACAACGCGACGACAACCATCGCGAGAGTGGTGGTTGTTGTTTTAATTTGTTGTCTGGCCGAGCTGCGGCTCCGACCGTTAGATTTCGTGCCCATCTACATATGTTTTAGACTCTAAAATTTAGAGAATGCATAGGCTTTAAATGCAAATGTTTAAAGCATAAACATTTTCGTGCAAAATTCACTTAATTAGTCGAACTCTACTATATAACATATTAAAGTGTTGATCAGTCCATCTATCTGTCTCTGCGCCAACTTTTATTGGGCTTGGATCTTTTGGGGTTTTATAATGTAAATGTATATATGTATGTCCGTCGAAATAGGCTACATCTGCATCCCAATAAATAGCCAATCAAAATGGGGCACATTTAGTCTTTGATTAGACTAGGTCAGTCCATGTGGAATATGTTTTGTTTAGACCTTTATACTTTTTAAGGATACTCTGTTTTTGAAAACTTTTTATGATAACGGAAAGGTTTTTTGATGATAGTATACACTTCTGTTCGAATCAAAGCTTTCTATTTTTATACCCTTGCAGAGGGTATTATAATTTTGGTCAAAAGTGTGCAACGCAGTGAAGGAGACATCTCCGACCCTATAAAGTATATATATTCTTGATCAGGATCACCTCCTGAGTTGATATGAGCATGTCCGTCTGTCCGTCTGTCCGTCTGTCCGTCTGTCTGTTTCTACGCGAACTAGTCTCTCAGTTTTAAAGCTATCGTCTTGAAACTTTGCACACACCCTTCTTTCCTTTGCACGCAGTATATAAGTCGGAACGACCGGGATCGGCCGACTATATCCTATAGCTGCCATATAACTGATTGATCGGAAATGGTATAACTTTGGTGTTTTTAGAGTTAGAGAGTTCAAATTTGACACTAGAGCTATTTTTGGCAAAACATTACGACATGCCAAATTTCAAAAGGATCGGCCGACTATATCTTATAGCTGCCATATTACTGAACGATCGGAAAAGACCCAACTTTCGTGTTTTTGAAGATAGAAAGCTGAAACTTAATACAGATTCAATTTTTGGCGAGTTGATCCAACCTATCAAATTTCATTAGGATCGGCCAACTATATCCTATAGCTGCCATATAACTGAACGATCGTAAATGGTACTTGGTAGTAATATCAACTTTCGTATTTTTGAAGATAGAAGCTTGCAACTTTTTTTTAGATTTTTTATTGTAATAAATTGGTTTTATTATGATGTAATCATAAGGATCGGCAAACTATATCCGATGTTTGCGATATTTATCCGGTTTTAACTGCAAGGGTATATCAACTTCGGCTCCGCCCGAAGTTAGCTTTGCTTTCTTGTTTGAATTTAATTTTATTTTAGGGTGTATAATCTAGTTAATTGTAATTTAAAACGATATATATATATATTTATTATGTATATTTGAAATATAATATATATAGTATATAAATATGTATTAATGAAATTACGTATCTAAGTACATACAATATACACCTTAAAATAAAAAAAACATGTTTACATTGTTACATTATATCTTTTCATTCATTAGTTCATAGAGAATGACTCGCCACCGAGATTATATTCATAGAAGATTCTAGTTTACATTTTTAATTTAAAAATTTCTTTAATTGATAAATCCCATAATATATTAAATGATTATGAAATTCCATATCCCCTGTGAGTTTTTTATAAGAATAAATCCATGAAATAAATTTATAAAAATAAGATTCATGTAAGAAAATTTGTGTAATCTTAAATCGGCCTGTCTAATTTATTTAATTTTTGTAATATAACTAGATTATGCCTGTATTGAAGTTTATACTGCTGTTTTCTTGTTTTCAATCTTTCTTTTTTCGTATCTCGTATTTCGTAAAAACGAAAATTACACAGGCCGACAATTTCCATTTTTTTTTCCTTCACGCATAATTTCAACTGCTTCATAACCTTTAGGCTTCCCTCAACCAAAGTCCAGAACAAACATAGTTTTCATCACCCATAGTTTTTGCGGAGAACCAATTATGAAGGCCGTGTAATTGCGTTGACCATCATTCTTATACCCTTGAAGAGGGTATTATAATTTTGTCCAAAAGTTTGCAACGCAATGAAGGAGACATCTCCGTCCCTATTAAGTATATATAGACCTTATCTACGCGAACTAGTCTCTCAGTTTTAAAGCTATCGACTTGAAACTTTGCACACACCCTTCCTTCCTTTGCATGCAGTATATAAGTCGGAACGGCCGGGATCGGCCGACTATATCCTATAGCTGCCATATAACTGATAGATCGGAAATGGTGTAACTTTAGTGTTTTTAGTGTTAAGGGGCCCATCCACAGGCGAGCATGTTGGGCGAACATGTTGTGCTCGACGAAATTTTTCGTTCGTAATGTTTCAATTATTATGCGCCCTGTCTTCAAATTTCAGGCTCTACTAAATTAAACAGTTTTTCATATGTAGAACTTTCCATTCGAAGAAAGTTTTTTAAATCCATAGGAGACTTTTCATGCCACTCTTTAAAAAGCTTCGTATGTGTGAATTTTAGCCGCTTTGCGTACCATTCCTTCATCCACATACTGTGCTTCCTTTTTATACCCTTGCAGAGGGTATTATAATTTTGTCCAAAAGTGTGCAACGGAGTGAAGGAGACATCTCCGACCCTATAAAGTATATATATTCTTGATCAGGATCACCTCCTTAGTTGATATGAGCATGTCCGTCTGTCCGTCTGTCTGTCTGTCCGTTTCTACGCGAACTAGTCTCTCAGTTTTAAAGCTATCGTCTTACTTACTCACTTATCGTCTTAAACTTTGCACACCCTTCTTTCCTTTGCACGCAGTATGTAAGTCGGAACGGCTCGGATCGGCCGACTATATCCTATAGCTGCCATATGACTGAACGATCGAAAATGACCCAACTTTCGTGTTTTTGAAGATTGAAAGCTGAAACTTAGTACAGATTCTATTTTTGGTCAGTTGATCCAACCTTCCAAATTTCATTAGGATCGGCCGACTATATCCTATAGCTGCCATATAACTGAACGATCGGAAATGGTATTTGGTAAAAATACGCAACTTAGGTATTTTTGAATATGGAAGCTTGGGACTTTTTTGTAACTTTATTGTAATAAATTTGTTATATTATGATATTATCATAAGGATCGACCAACTATATCTGATGTTTCCGGTTTTAACTGCAAGGGTATATCAACTTCGGCTTCGCCCGAAGTAAGCTTACCTTTCTTGTTTAATTTGAGTTGGTATATATTCGTTTACAAAATTATATGTTATTATACGACCTACATACATAAATTTTATAAATTTCTTTACCTAACATATGTTTCTTTTGGACTTTGGTTAAGGGGTGCCTAAAGGTTATGGAGCAGGTAAATTATGCGTGGACCATTTTTGCTGTCGGCCTGTTTTATCGAAAAAAAAATTTCCTGTTTTGTGTGTTAATTATAAGATGTTTTTCGTTGGAATTGACTAATCTGTAATAATAGTTGAAAATAAATAATATATAGCTGATGGTTTA